GAGCGTTAGCCGCAGCATGACCGGAGGGAAGCACAGCCAGTTAGCCTCCGCTAGTCTCTGAGCTAGCCCCGGCTCTCCGTTTGGATCCAACCGGAGCACCGAGCCCTGGTTTGTTATTCAGGTTAAAGTGGGAAGAAGCAGCGGGTTTATCGGGCAGCTGAGTGAAGTGGAGCCTGCGACACCGGGACCGTCTGGATGTAATAGTCCGTGGAGGTGCTGCGGTGCTAAATAATAACAATATTATTTATGTGATCCCATATCACGTAATAATGTGAAATGTTTCACATTATTACGTGATAATTTAACATTTTGTTATATTGTGAATTAGGGTGCTAGTACAACCATGAGCCTACCTATGTGACATGTTCTGCCTGTCTGTCTATCCAGAGACGCTTCTGGGCCTGTGGGTGCCCTAAGTGTAATTGCTGTGTTGTTATGCTCACACATAACAGAAGAAAAGTCACTGATTAGATTGATCAAGATCACCTTGATCTTTCATCCCTCTCATTCTCGTGAATACAATATCTCAAGAACACCTTGAAGGAATTTGTTTAAATTTGGCCACTTGGAGTCCACTTGCACTCAAGAATTAGCTGATTAGAATTTTGTGGTCAAAGCAAGGTCACTGTGATCTCTCAAAACATGTTTTGGCCACTTTAGGCTTCATTTCCATTAATCTGATGTGACTACTGCTAAAAATGGGATCAACCATCTTGGAATCATGCTGACAACAAAAACAGGAAGCTCTCCCACTCTACCATGCATGAATGCAGAAATTGTGCCAACTGTGCCTACAGAGGACACACCTCTGTGGGTGTGTTCTTTTCCGTTTAGGAGTTTGCTAAACCTGCAACTTTCTAAATTCTAGCTAACCTTTGAAGAATACCTGGTCATTTTAAGAGGAACCTTTCTGACCTTGACAACTTGTTGTAATGCATTCATTCACTGAAATATAGACATTTGCAGCCGCCTAAGCAGGACAGAGAATTTAACTCTTAACAGTTTTGGATAGGTGACATAGAGTACCATAGCTAACAGTTAGAAACTTTACAGTTTAAGAACTGTTGTTCCTTGTGTCTGGATTGTATCATATCCGTATCTGGATTGTATCATATCCGTTTGCTTCCCTTTTCAGATGAAGCCTTGTCAAAATGGAGGGGAATGCACCATCACATTCAACGATTTTACATGTTCCTGTCCAGAGGAATACACCGGAAAGACCTGTGAAACACGTGTGTGGTGTGTTAGTGATCCTTGTGTCAATGGCGGCCATTGTGTGGACCTTCATAACGGATATGAATGTGAGAAGATCTTAATCATTTTATAGCTGTAGCTGGTTAGACATAAGATGTATTCTGTGGGAAATACCAGTGCCCTATACATCCAATCTGTTGTCCTAATTCTGATCATGGCCTAATGAGTTGTGAAGATTTTCTTACTATATAAGCAGCATGTAAATAGTAGTTATTAGTAGTAATAACATCTAAGGAGTCTGACAATTTGGACAGGGCTTTTTTCCCCCAGGGTTGACTGTTTTCCTATGATTTTAAAATGGTAACTTTCTGTATGCTTTAGATTATTTGGTGATATTTTTTTTGGAGACTCTTACAAGCACACTCCCTCTGAAACACACAGTGTTTCAGAGCCATTTGTCCAGTTTTAATCACAGTGGGTATGTGGGAGTGTATGACCATCTTTATAGAGCTAGCCTGAGGTTAATACTGCATGCGCTGGCAGGGAAGGTAATTCTGTTCCATGGAGCTATTTCAGGGTCTTGTATTGATGGTTTGAGTAGTGGTCACATTGTAATTTACAAAACAAAAGAATTGACGTGCTCAACTCACCGTTTGAAAAATCACAGGGTGCTGACCCAAAATTCACAAACTAAATAAATCCAAATGTCAGCACTCACAAATATCATATATATCAGTCTTTTAATAACGCACAGCAGTATCACAAACGGACGCGTTTCAGCACTTGGCTTTCCTCAGCGTTAATGCACAAAGTGGGTATAACCCACATATCTAACAGACAGGACCTTGCTGAATCACTCCAGCTGGCATGAATCAGTCAATCAACCAATCGGATCCAGAGATCCACAGAGCAAGATGTAAAGACAATACAAAGAGTGGCCAATAGGTATGCTGAGCCTACAATCCAATTAAATTAAAATTAAAATAATCAGATGACCAACCTTAGTACGCCAAAAACTATCTCAACAGTGACTGATCCAAAAAAACTTGAACAGATCAAGTATAAATACATATATAAACATCCAGATAAGTAATGTCATGAAAAAAGTGTAATCACTCTAAAGGTAAATCCTATATAATGGCTATATCAGCCAAACAAGCAATAATCACAATACAATGATCAAACAATAATTTAACAATTAGTATTTCTAGGGTGGTGCTGCACTGAATGCTCCATCTGTTGAAGGCTGATCTGCGCTCTGATGACTTTCATTGATTTTCTGCATAAAAAGTCATGGGTAGAAATTAATGCAACTGAGAAGTTGATCCAGTTATATAACCATAATAACCGGGTTTCAAGGGGCTCTAATTTATGATGTGTGTCAGAATCACCGAATTTGAGTGAAAGTGAACCAGTTGAGGAAAAACCCTCTTACCTTAGAGAAACATTTGAGAGTCACTAGCCCTTTTTACACAGAGATTGCATTATAGAGCCACTACAAATCCCCTGCTTCATCTTTCTTTTGTATTTTCACACTGAACCAAACTACAACGGCATCATTCCGCTCCGGTGTGTGATTATAGACTACATTCCAGTATCCCACAATCAAAAGAAGCATAACAGGCATCACTTGTAACTCGTTGGCCTAAATGGTGGCATATACTGTAGCACATGCATCCACATCACTTTCTAAACAATAACAACAGTATAACGTGGCATAACAAGATATACATATATATGTATATATATATATATATATATATATGTATGTATATGTATATGTATGTATATATGTATTATAATGTAACACTGTCTAATGTACATATAATAAAATAACTGTCATGTACTCTTAGTTTAGGCCAATCAGAAGAAGGAGGATAGATGGGACAGGACAACTGTTTGAAAAGAG